TATTCCTTATTCTCTCTCGTCACTCTCTCCAGCCTTGGCCCAGAATACTCAATATATATATACATATATATACACTACGTGTGTACTGACTGCTGTGACTGCTTTGGTGATTGTGAATCAGTTTCGATGAATGCGTATATACATAGGTCTCATAATCCGGGATCCCTGTTCAGCGTGGGCATACGCCAGTTTCTATGTAGTCACCTGTATTGCTCCCGCTGGCACCACTTATTGCTCCATGGACGCTAGTGGCAATTTCGTAGCAGTTTTATTTGTTCGGTGTGGTTAAGAATCCTATGTCGTGTTTCAGCCCTGGGTATAAGAAGTAGCGCATACCTAGCTATTGCATGTTAATTCTTCGTGACGTTCACCGGCGTTAAATCCTGTGGCGCCTCAACTGAAACAAAGAAATATAGATTTGCGTAAACCGATTTGCTCCCGTGAAGTTGGTCGGTTCAAATTCAATGTTGATACCACAAGGAACAATGAACGAGTCAGCTGAAACAGAAACATTGATCAGTGTAAACAACTTTGCACTTAATGTTCTGAAACTGGTAAGAATTTTGTTCGAGTTTTGTCGCCTTTTAAACAACGAATAACTTATACATTCCTCTACAGAAACAGAAATGAAATATTTATAAACCAGCAAAGGCTAGTTGCTATCTATTTCTGGTATTTTATAGATGTCACTTTGTTCAGTCTGCACAGCGTCAAACTATGACGCTAATCAGACGTCTTCGGTCGGCGGCTAGTACGTCAGAAATTCCTCCGTCACACCAGATAATTTTATAGGACGTGCTCACACTAAACTCAGATAGCCCGAACCCGAATTCCGTCTGTTGTCCTAACAAAAAAAAAAAAAAAAGGCTGACCTTAAAATATAACTTTATGCACCAGTTATCAGAGCACATTTTTATTCCGCTGAGATTTCCAATCGAAAATCTTCTTTTAAGATTTACGTTGTGTGGACACCAGCTTGGGATACAACTGATCTGCTTTTGTCATTAAGACCGATTCGCTATGTCCTTAGAGTGAACGCAGCTTTGTATTTTTCTCACCAGACTCATTCACCATGGTCATTATCAGGCAGAAACAGAAGTTGCAGCTCGGCTGATACGCGGTCGTTCTCCGGATCTCGTTCCGTTCCGGTTCACTGGCCACTCCAAGTCACGATAATATGGCTCGATTATGGTTACTGTGGATGATCGGTACCCTGGGTTTCACAGTTATTTCTGCGCCCCCCTCCCCTCTCCAGCATAAGAGTTATATGGATTATTTTAGAGAACACCAAATATTGGGTGAGAGTTGATGACTCAAGGAACACAGTCGATACATAATTGTGGGTTTCCCTTAGTAATGAAATCATGTCTTTGTAAACACACGTTGTTGTTCAGCCCCTCAGTATCAGTGCACTCACTTTGTCCAGAGCATACATGTGCAATGTTGATACATACACTCGGCCAATAAAGTTCGGAAACGTCGTTATTTTGAATAATTATAAAATTACCATAGGAGCTAAGGTAAATATATTTTTACCAAATATTGATGGATAATGCACCCATCAACCGTTACTTTATTATATACACCGACAGACAGCTTATATGACAAAAGGAATAAACTGACCTTTCTCTGACACTCAGGTTGACAAAGAGTGTGATGACAGAGGAAAGCCACTGACAGTGCTCTGACACAAACAGAGTGACACACAGCGTAATAATAAAGTAAAGAAAAAACAGATCACTGGTTTTTCAGGACGAAGAAATTACATTTATATATCTCTCTTTCACTCAGCGTTCTGCGTCGCTAAACATTTTCTACGTCGAGTCTCATTTTATGCTAAACACGTGTCCACAACGTACTTACAGATGCGTTTATTCCAATACCCAGCACAACGTAAGTTGCCTCCCTGGCTTCAACGCGTTCACGTTATGCCAGCTTTCCAGATAACCGCACACACGCGGCTTTAACGTCTTTATTATACACTATTGACCGTTCACTCTTCCCGGTGAAGTGGTCGTCGTTCGTGTAGTGTTATCGCTCTTCAGGAAATACTTACCTATTGATCACCCATTTCCCGTAGAGAGAACGACAGCCTCCTAGGCACTGTATTTCCAGAGGGTCATTTTGTATGTAGAATTGTTATCAGACACAATTAGAGCGCTTCGAAAACACGAACTGTAATTCAATTATTTTGCCATTAAGGTGCCTGGAAACGATAATTAAAAAAAGGGGGAGAGAGAGAGTGAGAGAGAGAGCTGCGCTTCCACTACGATGTCTTTCTCAAAAATAAAACCTACCGGTTGTATTGTGCCATTGCTGTACCACTTAGTTCATAGGCTGCGGCTTTCTAACAGGAGACCAGGAAATTCGAACCATACTTCCTCTAAACCCCACCGTGTCTTTAATAACTCTCTCATCCTTAATTGAACTCTATGTATCCACTACCGTGTCCTTTGCTAGGTCTAGTATATAAGGTGGAAGTAGTGTCGGAATGCGTGGTGGTATGATATATCAGCTTCTCACTAGCTCGTCCAGATAATCTTACCTGTACATATGACTCATTCATTCATTCATTCGTCTTCCACTGCCAAATCTCCCCGGCGGCGAGGGGACGAACTGTGGGGCTACGAAACGGGTGACCCGGAACGCGGTCAGAAACGTGTGGGCGTTAAGCCGTTCCGTGGGCGAAGTGAACAAAATATCTTAAAGTTATTTTTACAATTTTTTAATTAACGTTTCAGATGCTTTAGTTTCTGCTTTAGTCCGCTCGCCTTAATATTTTTTCAATTATAAAAGGTACCCATGCCCCGCCCACACACACACACACACACACACACACACACACACGGAGAGAGAGAGAGAGAGAGAGAGAGAGAGAGAGAGACGGAGAGAGACTTAATGTACACCGAGTTGGGATTGGTTGTTTTTTCCACTTTGAAACCGATAAAAAATTAAACACTTCTGACAGACCGCGAATATCTAAATGTTTTCACACTATAGGGAACAGCATTGTTTTCTACATTCTCATGTCTGCTTTAAATTATGTAACTGATCGTATTTCCCCTTATTACCTGGATCTCAAAGTGCGGTTCAGTATTCTGTTTCTGATTCCCTTAATTCTTTTTTTCGATAAATGAGCGTAATGAATCGCTACAGAAAGTGTGGGGAACTTAAACATGAAATAGTCAACAAATAGACTTCTTATGTGAGTATGGCTCGGCATAACTGTCACCTAGTTTTATCTATACAAACATAATTTAGTATTGTTAGCTCAAATGTTACCGTAACTGTGGAAACAAGTGACGATTTCTGCTCATCTGTTTTTATCCTTCGTTCATGAACACTTCTTCCCTCACGAGATAGGGGGCTTATATTTATAAAAATATAAGCAGAATGTGAAACTTTAGAAACCGTTTTGGTCCAACCGCTCACCTGCGTGGACAGCCTTGTTTTAAAAACGTAACTTCCAGTCGACTTCTTCTTTGTCATAGTCCAAACCAGGCAGTGCTTTGTTACATTAAATACTTTTACTCATTCTTAGACAAGATCCAAAACATCGGATAAAGAAGAGTATTTTAAGACAGAGGAGTCATCAATTTACCAGGAAACAAAATCGACGTTTTTATCGGACTTGCTCGTTTATATTTGCCGTGCTCAGCTGTGTTCATAAAACTTAATACAATTTATGGATCTGGGTTTCTGAGTAAGAACAGGCAACCGGTATGGTTACGACACTTGATAATATGTAAATGATAAAATAACACGCATATAGCCTTAGGCGTATCACTTAGTAACGTATCATAAATATTCAATATCAAATTCCATGTTATAATCGATATAAAATGCACGAAGACAAAAGCTTTTTTTTCATTTTAGGGGAAGAGGAGAAGACGTAGGAACAAACTCCCTTCCTTGTGTTTTTCTTGAAACTCATTCAAAAATAACGTAGCGTCAGGATAGGGATAATCAGAGATAGTCAAAGGGTCCTTTCCCAATGAATATAAGTCCTTGATCGGCCTAGCCGATACTGTCTTTGGAAATGAACCCCTAAATGAAGGCTGGCTGTACTGCGTGACGCCACAAGGGATTAGAAATGTGCCACAGGGGCGGATCCAGAGATATTTTCTGAGAGTCTTCCATATTATATTTGTTGATCCATCTTCCATTTTTGACCGTCTTCCGACAGAAAAAATTAGATACCCGTCAATGTAAACTTGAAAATCTGACCGTCTTCTGGAAGACCCAGAAGACGGCCTAAATCCGCCCCATTGTGGGTGAGGTTGGGTCACTCTCTTAGCATAAGGATGAACTTCTGTGGGCCGGGATTGTCACCCTAGATAGCAATACAAAAATGACATGCAATATGTTGTAAAAAAAGTTGTTCAAAAGCCTGCAAAATTGAGAAGAAAACCACCAGCAAAATATCGTTGGATAATTTCCGCCATTTTTTATTCGTTGCTGCACCACCTAGTCTGGCATTATTTTAACCCCACTATCCTCTATACCTTTTGAGATCTGATGAATTTTACGCTAGATTGCTACACTCAGGGCTTTCTCGGACGATTCCCATTGGGAAGGGAGGATAGGGTGATTGTGTTAGTGAGATGCGGAACACCTAACGCAATACACAAGGTCCGGTGTCAAGCACGCTGGAGTTCCCATTGAATTTTACAGGTAACAACCGCTTTAGAGTTTTGCTCCACTAACGTTACACTTACCCTAGCTTGTATGGCACTGGCTTTCAAAATTAAAATGAACAATAACAACAAAAACTAAACGAAATAGTAATCAAATAATTCAGTGTTTGATTTAATTCATAGTTATCTTGATGTAATTATACACTTTCCACTGTTACAATACACAAATAAATTAAGAGGAAAAATGCTCTTGCTTTCCTAAGAAATGTTCCAATTATATAATGGTAAACCTACAAGGAAATATCTTTATAAATGGCATATGATATATTATTTATTGGTGTACGGATATCTTTTTTTTTTTCTTTTTTCAACATTGGACTGAGACAAAATTGTCACAAGAAACAGGTTCCCTGCTGATTCTTGACAATATGTAAGAGTTCTGAGTACCGAAGTAGGAGTTTTGAGTATTCAATGTTATTACAGATAAATAAAATATCATTGAATCATAAATAAGTTACTTGTGCACAGAAATAAGCTAATAACATAATGCGTAGATAATTGAAAGTCGAATTTTGTAGAAATAATAAAAAATTAATCAAATGTTCCATAAATAATTGGAACAATTGATTCTTTCATAAATACTGGTAACAGAAAAATCAACCAATTAATCCCTTCTTAAATAAATAAATAAATAAATAAATAAATACGCAGAAATTATGTTAATGGTGAAAACTAACATAGCCCATGGAAAACAAAAAATGTTCTCACATCATTCCAATGTTCTATTTATAACTGCTCACAAACAAGATGAAGAACTGCTTTTAGCAAAACATGGACCACATCACAAGTTTAACGTACGACTGAGCTACACAAACACCATCTGATTGGTGGAAAAAAAGACAAGCACTTAATACAACCACTAACTGGGCCAGATTTCTTCTTTTTAAACTTAAACTTGGGGGGAGGCAGACTATCCTCTGATAGGACAGATTCATTCAAAACTGCATAGGGGGCCGCAGCAGTGAAATCAGGGGCTCCCTTGAATGAGACCGTATATACTGACGATTGAGGAGACTGGACCGTGGGGCTGAAATAACAGGTTCCTGGCTGTAAACAAATGCTCGACTGTGAAGCATTATTATTCTCACGTGCTCTGTTCTGTGAATTCAAACGGGCAACAGTAGGTTTCTTGCCTTCTCTAGGGGGTGTTGTGGTGAGATCTCCAAGTTCAAAATCATCTCGCCAAGTATCTGGCTCTTGCTTTTTGACACTGTCTGACTGTTCTTTATGGACACTAGATGGCGTTGATGTTCCTTTTGGTGGTGACACAGGCGGTTTGATAGGAATACGGCCGCTGTTGGATGAGGGTGATGATTTGACATCCGACTTCGATTTCCATTTGAAAAATGTCCATTTCTTTGAATCATCATTAACACCGTCACCACCATAATTGCCATCTTCTTCTGAATTAGAGGAACTTGTGTAAGGAAAAAATTAAAAGGAAAAATATCAAATCAAATGTTATCAAATTTTCTCAAATTTTCCAGTTAATCTATATATAAATAATAATTATTCATAGCCATTTAAGTTAAGCAAAGTTAACATAATTTTTCAGCTAATGCCTAAGGAAAAAAATCAGCAAAACAAGGTATGACAGAGATAAATGATTTAGTAATAATTCAAGTTACAAGGTGATTTTTGATGCAAAGATGTCACACAAACCACATTTTCAGATAAAATATTAGACATACTGAGCTTAATAATGCATACTGAAGGAAATAATGATAATAACACTAATTATTAATACTGGTAAAAATGCTATGTACGCACACTCTCCTTACTAAAAAATCAAGTGTTGTCTATATTAAATGCATACCTGTTGCTCTTAAGAGCTGTCCTCATCTTGTTGCCCTCTCCTAGTACTACAGGGTCGTAGCAGTGCCTGAGCATCATCTCCTCAACCACGGGAAGCACAAAGGACTGGATGTAGTCAATGACAAGATGGCCACTGCAGGATTCCAGACCCTCCGATTCTGCTGTGTGTTCTTGCCCTGACAATTGATATTAAAATTAGAAAAATGATTATTAATTGACATGTATTGAAATTGGGCTTTTATATTCTAGGACATTCACCCTGCAAATGGTCTTTTACTGAATGTTGTTTATTGATCAACAATACTCTTCATTTTAAATGACATAACTGTATTTAAAAAAATGTTCTTTCCTCCTCACTGTTCACATCATAATTAACCTGCTGATACTGGAAATTGCCAGCAGGAAATTTCCTCATGCAAAAACCACAAAGCTTTGCTTAAAAAATGTATGTACACTTATGCAAAAATAGCACTTGCCGTAAAAGGTTTACTCACAGTTTGAGTAGAATGAAAATATGTAAAAAGTTGCACAAGAATCAGTTGAAATGTATTGATTTGTGATGAAATTTCACTGTGACTAAATGTGCCTAAGATCACTTTACAAACTCATTTAATTGAAAACTCTGTCAACAGAGTTTATGGTTTGAATTTTGAGGTCAAATTAAATAAAAATACTGAATATATTGGAAGAGGTGACTGGTCTCATACACACTTACAGTACGTACGGCATGAGCATGCAAACACTTACATGCGCGTGCACAAACATGCACTCACACATACACACATCAGCTTAGACCCATACTGTACACACACATGCACTTACATGTACCTTCCTTGCCCAGCACCTGTGCGGGTGAAGATGTCGTCACCGATGTCAAATTAGAGGTGACATTTGACAGGGCTTTAATTGCTGGCCGCACTACATCCAGGTTACTCTTGTGTCCATTGATGGCTCGTAACAGTAATTCTGCTCCACTCTCCCCAACAGCTGGCTGGAATTTACCAGAAATAGACAGGACTTAAGTCTACTTCAAAAAACACTTATTCTGACTAACCTCTATCAATCCAAACCATAAACTTAGTCTAGTTTAATTCAATCATCACTTGTAGTGAACATAATGCCATTCCTGTGATTTATGTCGGAAATAATCCATAGACATGTAATTAAGTTTCTTGAATTAGCAGGTATAAAATAATTGGTAACTCTTTCTATTTGCAAACTTTGATGTATTAAAAAAGCCCTTCAATTAGAGACTATAAATTTTCAAAATACAGTGAATCATGAATTGAACCCCCCCCCCACAAAATAAAAAAAATCTTTTTTCTATTTTTATTTAATCAAATTGTTAAAGCCTCTTTCGTAGTACAATTGATGAGCTCATTATTTTCTTTGTTATCATGAAGAACACATATTACAGAATATTACCTTTTTATTTGGCAGTTGTTGATATGTGGCAATGTATGCCAATATGGTGCAGCCATGATGCTGAACCAGCGCGTGGCGGCTGTGGACCGCCATGACACCCATAACTGTGGCCGCCACTTGACACTCAATCATGACGGTCAGATTTTGAGTAAACTGGCCAAATATGCTAAGCAGCTGAAGACAAACAATTACATTTTCCACGGGGTCCTAAAAATAAATGATAAAAATTATAAAGATTAATACAAAGTCAAAACATAAAAGTGAAAGCAACAGTTTCTTTTAAGAATGCATTGTTTTACCTCGAAACTCCAATACTAGGATTAGGATTTTCCAGTCAATTTCAACATATTATTTCATTACTTATGGAATTTTATAGAATAAATTAAGATACGTGAAAAACAGAAATACATGTTAAATGACACCAAACTGGTACTGATACTATAAAATATTGTTTGGCCTGAATACAATTATACCCTCTATAACACACACATACACACAAATAAATAATTAAATAATCACACACACACACACACACACACACACACACACACACACACACATGCTATACCAAAGAGACCAGCAGCACATCCAGGAGCAGTTTAATCACTGGGCCATGCAAGGCAGTGGTGGAGGCATACTGATTTAGACACTTGTTATACTCTACTATAAACTTCAGCAGGATATCACGGTCAAGAATGGCCACGTCCTGAAATAAAGACCAATTTAAACTTAAAGATGCAGGCAGGGGAAACTTGATAAAATATGTAAATCATAGCCTCTAAATCCAACAAGATGTTTATCAGAAAGAATAACTGAAAGAAACACAGTTTAGTCACATCATATCCCCCTAACAAATGATATTTGCCAGGGGCAGATTTAAGCAGTCTTCTGGGTCTTCCGGAAGACGGTCAGAATTTCAAGTCTTTTGAAGATTTTATATAGACGGCTATCTAACTTTTTCTGTCGGAAGACGGTCAAAAATGAGGATGGATCAACAAAGATAATTTGGAAGACTGTCAGAAAATATCTCTGGATCCACCCCTGTTTGCATATATATTTTCTGCTTACTTAAACATAAGAATTATAAATAAATACCTAATATGAAGTATCATTTCATATAATTACTTAATAATAATCATTAAATTTATTAATCTATTCATTAATGCATGCACAAATAAATCACCTATTAAGAAATAATGGATGCATAAATGATTCAAAATAAATAAATTTATCAGACTTTGAATAAAATAAAAAAGGGTCATTTTGCAAATTGCTAATTAAAAATAATCATATACATCCCTGTCCCAGCAACAGCAATTATTATCAAAATAATAAAACCTCACCATTCAACTACTTGAATTTAGTACTGTAAATCACCCACATGCAGTTTATCCAAAACCTGTGAATCTCAGTGCATCAGTGAGATATATTATAAGGCCCCATTCAGATTGAGAAGAGCCGAGTGCTAGCTAGGTCGCGACCTAAATGAAAGGAAGACCGCTTAATCCTATAATGGTCTCTCTGCCTCTCACACGGCTCCCAACGCATCGTCCCTCGACCGGTTGAATTGAGCCGTGATTTAACTACTGTGTCCCTGCCGGGACGACGCGTGGGGAGGCGTGTGAGAGGCAGAGGGACCATTACAGGATAAAGCGGTCTTCCTTTCATGTAGGTCCGCCATATTTAGGTCGCAGCCTAGCTAGCACTCGGCTCTTCTCGATCTGAATGGGGCCTAATATACCTGCATGACTCTCACAATCTGGTCCATTTCCTGGGTGGTCAGGCGGCAGTGACTGTGCAAGAGAACCTGCTGGTTGACATAAGATGAAGCCATACTGGCTATCTGTAATTACAACATATTGGTATTAATAATTATTGTTTTATTAACAAACTGCAAAATGCCCTTGAAATATTATCTGAAGGATTAAAGTCTAACAAATATATCAAAAGAAAAAAAAATTAACAATTCTGCCTTATTCACCAAAGTATAACCGAATAGTATCCAAAATTGTTGAATTTTTTTTTTAACATTCCCACTTTTGCATGCTGAATTTTCTATTTTTATCAACATAATTAAAATTTATTTGCCAGCCTCCATCTCCATTATGAAAGTGATTCAAAAGTTAAAACTTACTAAAATGGCTCTCTCTATAATCAACGCCCCCACCCCACCCCACCTGATCTGGCGTCTGAAGCTGTCTCACTAAGTCATAGTCTAAGTCTAGCAGCTGGGCATCAGGGGAGGATGACATGTTAATCCCAGAGCTACTGGTCACACTGGCCGGATACTGCCACCGACTCATGCGGTCAAACCCTGACCACCCTTCTCTCCAGTAGCGGCTACTTGATTCACCATCTCCTCTTGGCGGTCGAGGCGACCTGTAAGTCTCGGTTATCTCTGTACTGTTGGTGCTGCAGGATTCGGTGACTTCTGTGATAATACGCTTTGGGCGTTTGGGCGTTCTTTCCATTATGTCAGACATGTCGGACATACTGGATGTGTGTTCCTGTTGGTTGACTCTGGTGAGAGGTTCTTTGCAAAGAATACTATGAAAGTTGAAATAATATATTACAATATATATATATATATATATATATATATATATATATATATATATATATATATTGGAAAAAAAGATAGCAGTGTGTCTGTTTGTTCTTCTTCATGAATAATTCTGATCCATAAATTTTCTACATGTCTGACAAATTATTTCAGGCAAGAGTAAATGATCCCCTTCTGTTTTCACAGAAAATAAAAGAAAAAAGTAAATATCTGACACCACCAAACTGAATTTATTTAGACATTTCACCGATTTATTTTTCATTTTTCAACTGATATAATTTTTTGAAAGAGATAAAATATGCTGGGATGACAACATTAACTTTTACTTACCTTTTTCCTGTAAGTATCCAGTATGAAATGTTAAATAAAAATATCAATTAAAACAATTCACTTAACAAAGATATGAATAGACTAAAATGAGCAAAGAACAAACACGTATATATAAATTCCAATTAACTTTAGTAAATGTTCCTTCATGCACTCATATATCAGGACTATCAGGCATCAAATTGAAATACTATAATATATATTATCTGCAGCAGTAATCTATTCTAGAATCTTTTTTTTTTCTGAAGACGGAGTAGTGAGGAAATTACCTGGCACCTGCTCAGTTTAATACTGTATATATATAATGGTAAAATCCGCATGATTTTAGGGGAAAGCAGTGTCCTTGTCATTTTTCAATTTAATTGTATACACTGTACTGGCAACCTATATTTTAGTGCAGGGAGAACCGTTATACATGAATATACCTCTGCGAAACCTTTATCATATAATCAGTTAAAGTAAAAGATACCAATGCAGGACAATAACAGGCGCGCCCGTGGCACAGCTACATGTACATATAACTACTGCAGAGAGTGACTCGTCTGCATGCTTAATTACTGACAAATACTAGTATTTAAATGTAAATTAATTTTTTAAAATTCTGTATATACTACAGGTACATGTAATGATGTTGTTTATGCAACCATAACACAGCAAAAGGGATTTGCAGGTCTACAATTGTGCCGGAGACAATTTAACAGGCAGTAACAGGCAATTTATGTCACTAAAATAAAAGACTTTAGTTACTATTTTTGATTGCAAAAATTAAGATGCTGTATACAATCACTACAAAACTCACCATATTTTTTCTTCAGTAACTTAACAGTATTGTGTACATGTACCTCTGCTACAGTGGTGCCCCTCTGTGACAAACATGGTTACTAGGTCAAGTTACATAAAAGTGTGTCCTCGCTTTCCATATATAATACAACACACATAGAAAGTCTTAGCCTGCATGTGAGGATTGTATAAGGTGACTGGGTCAATGTTTTGTTGTTTACCTAATATGTGACCAGAAACACCAAAAGCAATGTGTCCTTATGTTTATTGTTATTGTTATGACTAGTTGTCACTTCCATCTACATGTATACTGTTATTCCTATTCCAGTGTCAACTATTTAGAATTTTACCTATACAAAGTAAAACCAATCAACAGCAACAACAGCAATAAAAATAATAATAAAGATCACTGCATACAAAACAGCATTTTTCACAAAAAAGCTACTCAAGTTGTTTTTTTTTTACAAAATAAATTTACTAGTACATGTTTTTTTTTTTTTATCTTTAAAAACATCATTTACAGTGTAAATTGGGAAAGGTTGAGGGATGTTTTGCTTTCCCACAACACTCACCATCCCTTGAAGGAGATACTTAAAAGAATAAGGTATCATGGAGAATTTTTCAATACTGAGGATGCATATAAAAAAAAAAAATAAATAAAATAAAAAAAAAAAACTATGCTGGTTTCTGAGTGTTTTTGAAAAGAATGGTAGTTGACGGTTCAAGCCCATGTGGAAAGGGATGTCAGGAGGTTTGAGTGTGTCTTGGGGGTAGGGGGAGTGCATGGAAGTGTCAACTACATTGTACATGCAATAGTAGTTTTAAAAACATGTTAAATTAGACTGTATACTAGGTAGGAGAAAAGCAACTTTTCTTTAACTCCCTCAAAGAAAATATACATACCTCCCCCCCCTTCCCCAGAACAACAATAATGATAAATAATTGCAATGATTTAATATCCGCCTTAAATAAATTAGATTGGAATTATCATCGTTGAAGTGAGATGCAGCACTGGATTTTTAATTAGCCTAGAGTATTTTATCGTACTGATTTATGATAATATGCAAAAATTATATATGCTTGCTTTAGTTTAGCATTAAGACTTGACAATGTTCAAAATTTATGTGAATGCATTTAAAACATATTCGAACATAGGTGTCAAGTGCAGAATAAACTGAAAAACCTTACGAAAATCGCATTTGCGTTGCACGTTGTCTCAGCCTTCCTCTAATTTTCCCGGGAAGTTTTAAAACAAATCTCCTAACACAGTCGAGCTCGACCCCTTACCTCTTTTGCATTGAAGTACAGAAACGGTAAAATGGAAAAGGAAGAGGAGTTGAGATAAGATGAAACGAAATATTTCTCCATTTTTCTGCTAGAATCATGGATTCTGAGCAGCTCAGAGACGCGGAATGTATCCTTGACTTGAAGACAGGGAAGGGAGTGTCTCTGGCGGAGGCGGAAGATGAACAATGGCTAGGTAAGCAAGCGGATAAATAATCCTGGCCTCCGTTCTGAAGTGACACTGTTTTGTGATTAACATGACACCTCTTATCTGACAAGAAAACCAAACAAACCGGTGTCGGTGTTATGTTTGAACAAGACCGTGTAAAGGGACTGCTCGTAGACTCATAATGATATAGATTACTTATGGCTTTTAACTTTTAATTTTGACGTTGCCTGCCGTTTGAAGGAAAGGAAAAAAATAAGGGCGAGCATAACATAATACATCTGCCCAAATTATGACAAGAAATTTGCTTCATATTACTGGGAAAATTGAAGATTCATTTTATTTCAAGTCCCCACCACGGGCAAGTTTTTACAGGCAATAAAAGAAAAATGTGTGATTTTTCCTTATGTCTCATATTTTGGCAAAAACAATTTCCCATTGACTTGCATGCATACTGTCTAGTTTCTCAGTGCCTGGGAGGGAGGTTTTTGCCGCTTGACCAGCTGGGTAGAGGTAGTGCCCATGGTACCGCCCACAATATCTGTACAGTTTTCAAACTATGCCATTCTGTCACAATTGGCTTTGTACCTGAAACCTGTGAGCTCGCACTGCACAGTCACCACCAATGGGAATAATCCAAGATAGCCTAAAGTCTTCAGACTTAGCATAATAACAATCAAGATTTCACAGCATTTTGGTGGAGAGGGGGGTCAGAAATGATGGTAAGTGAAAATAAATTTATGTGTTAGCACTCAGAGTTTCCTATTGATGATTTTTAACACATACGCTGTGCTAACACATGAAAGCAAAGGCCTCAAAAAGTGTAAAATGACAACCAGTTTCCACATCTCCATCTCAAATTATTCTTTAGTTACCTCTCATATCCTCAACTTGCATGCTCTTGTGAAGCCAACCAGTTTTTCCATAAAAGTGTGTCCTCTCAGAGCCATCAGTAAGGTAAAATTCATCTTCTTGTCTACCAGTTAAGTCACCATGAAATCATATACACTCTGTCAGAGGGGAATTGCTGCTATGAACTGACTTCTTCATATGAGAGATTTGTTAGAACCCCCCCCCCCTCCAAATAATAATAATAATAATATCAAATAGTTGCCAGTGAAACTCATAAAAATACACACGATTCTGCTCAGTAGGTCGTTTCCTGGCAGGAAAGATATAATTACTACCATTATTTGACCTACCTCACACATGCAGAAGTCCATTTTTGGTTTATTTTTTGGGAGTGCTTAATTTCATGGTGGCCTAACTGGTAGACAATCAGATGTATCTTATAGACAAGCAGATGACTCTGTGAAATACAATATCCCTTACAGTAACTGACCCAGATGTGGTATGAGTCAGTCCTCTGTGATGTGATGTAGGAAGTTCATGTACGTATGTTACTTCATTCGTCTTCATTGTGATGACACATAGTCATACTGTGCATTTGCAGCCCCTTTGCTTTATATGATCTTGTAGATCTTGTAGATGTCTTTGCTTAAAGAGATAACAGCTCTTCATTTTCGCAGGAAAGTTCCATAAAACATTTTCCTCAGGTAAATGGCATTGCTTTTCGTACTAACCAGTGGTTAGTGAATCCATCTCTGTTTTCAAAGTTACTAGTAGTTGATCTTTATATGTAATAATCTCAAAAGATAATAATCTTTTAAGAAGATTATTACAGAGGGTAGCCATCTATTAATGTCCATGTGGCACAATGGCAGGTACAGATTTCAGAATTATTTTGATAACTGACACTTTGTTGGTAAAATGGAATTTATATTTCAGTGTGTTGTTTACAGTGTATTTATTATGGAATTTTGAATATCTTATGAAGAGCTGTTATCCCTTTAAGTCTAAAAGAAAATAGAATTTTGAAAAAGGTTAGCAAGCAGTATAAATTAATGAGATAAGGTAATAGTTAAATTTAAAATGCAAAAAAGGGGACAAAAAAGAAAGTGTACTGTTAAGCTGTGATCAATGTGTCTCATGCTATAAACTGTGGTTACCTCCAAAAATTGCAAAGTGGTTGGAGCTCATGAGATCATGAAATTTGTCACAGACTGAGATATTTCATGAGATTGCAATTTTTGTTTCCCAGATATGAGTAATTTCAAACTGATTCAGTTAAAGTGGTTTTCTGATGCTTTTCATATCAACATGGATAAATCTATCATTAAGAGGTTGTTTCTTAAAAAACTGTCAAGAAAAAAAGGTAAATTAAAAAAAGGATTATTTATTTTTTTCTGTGGAAGGAAAAGACCTTGTAATAGTTTCTGAAACAGTAATATAAAGCATTTTATATTAAATAAGGCATTATAACTAAGATCTGACCTTTCATAACTATTTATGATATTGAAAGTGTGTGAAGATGAACAGAATCACTGACAGAAAGCCATTTGCTATGCATTAAGCATGTATACAGAATGTTTTAAAATAATTTATTTATTAAAATTTGTATTTATATAAAAGCTGCATGTACTAAAGCTGATCCAAAATTGAGAAGGTCATTTTAATTCATTTCCCCTAATCTAGTAATTCATATTATATATCATTGAAGTACAGAACCATTCATAATATTATGAGGTAGTGCACAGTTTTCTCCTCTACTTGTAACCTTAACATAGGAATCCAAGGAGGTGACCAAAATGACATACAATTTTTTTTTTTGTCTGTCCTGGGCCTGTATCACTGTCCCAGATTGTTTCACTTTCCTTTTTTTTTCTGGAATAAGCCCCAGGTGTTGTGTTACCTTTCAATCAGCATTGACTAGCCCTAGAGGTAGTAAATCTTTTAGACAGAACAGTATCAAATGACATGTAATGCTTTCAGTTTCCTTACTTTTGTTGTTGTTGTGGAAGTAAGGTCTTCAGGTGACACTAATATCACCTGGTGTCATTACAGCACATTGGATGTCAAAATGACATGGGAATTAACATAATTTATACACCAGTGAGTATCTTAAAAAATTGTATAATAATTATTATACATATATTGTACAAGTGAAATAATTACTAGTAGGGCAATGGAAGATTATGAGCACAGACTAACAGATCCACAGATCAAATATGGCGACCCACTAAAAAGCTTGCATTTAATTCCTGATGAGACACAGAATAGATTCCCCACTGGGATTATGGAACAAGCCATATTTGATCTGGGGATCTGTTAGGTTGGGTTCCCATACTAGTACTTAGATCAATCCATCTGGACTAAGGGGCCATTCCCACAGATATATGGATCGATCTATCTCACTGGGGGTTCACACTAAATTGCTATCAGCTTAAGAGGCTTAAATGTCTGACACGCCTACCAGAATCAGCTAGGGGTAAAGATAATTACCTCCTAACAGTTTTACTAGACGTGACATACGTTTAAGTCGGTCAAGTTGACAGCAATTTAATGAGACTCCCCAGTGAGATAGATCGATCCATATATCTGTGGGAATGGCCCCTCAGTCCACTGTTCTGAATGTCCTTCATGACCTGGATTCACTTTCTTGTTGTTTTCAGTCCAGTCTGGTGAACATGTGGAGTTCAGAGACAACAGCCGAGTGTTCGTGGAGAAGTCCGGAGAAGGCGTCCTGTTTGGGCTGAAGAAGGAGAAAGGGGAGTGGTTGGTGTGTCCCTGGAGTGCAGACGAGCCCTGTCTGCTGGATGACCTTGAACTTGTCCAGCCTACCAAACTTCAGAATGGTGGGTGGTCCAGCAGAAAGTTATGGAAAACTGTTTACAAACAAACTCAAAAAATAAAAGAAAGAAAAATGAAAGGAAAACATCGGGTGTATTAGCCTGCACTGTATTGACTAAAACATGACATTCATTTCATTGCTTTACCTGAAGTTTATAATGAATCAATTGCAAAAAGTGTCTTAAGTACAGGTTTTCAAATTAAGAAACTTCTGAAAGCATGACGATGCAAAATCAAACCACATTTAGATTCTATTTTGAAAATGATAACAATAACCCAATGTCTTGTGATCTTCAATACTTATTTGGCACCAAACGAGATACGTTCCCAAATTTTTAATTCAAAATTTTTTTTTATAAACAAAAAATATCTTGCAAGGTATTTTGAATATTGATTAGTTTTCTCAAACAAAAAAAAATAAATAAATAAATACATTTTAAAAATTAAATCACTTCTAAAAAAACAAAAATAAACTTTTTTCTTTTCTAGATTATGTTGGTGTAAGTTTCAACACTATCAAAGGAAAAACACATTTAGCCTATTTAGAAATGATTTACTTCTTTATCACCATTACACAAGTGACAATAAAAACCTGTTTCACCAAAAAAATATCTGCTAATATTGCATTGGGTAATTATAAGGCACCTGTGAAATTGAGGTCAAGCTCCACCTATCTAAAAATGAGGGCTCATCTGTTTAGCTAGCTGAAGATGTAATTTATGATCACAATCAATCACATGGTCAACATTGCCAGGGGGAACATAACTGACAAATAAAGGGGGGCCAGGCTATATATTTCATATGTGAGAAGAGGCACATGATTTGAAAGTAGGCCAATGCTATTGCTATTGTGAATGCTTGCTAGCAGACACTTATATTCAAACAGATAAAAGAGGCTGCATTGTTTTAAAATGTGATTTTTAAATTTGAAACAAGAAAGGGTACTCACTTGGTAAGGTTAGTATATAAATAAAAATGTTGGAAATTTATAGAAAAGTAAAGGAATTTTGTAACAGGCCACTTGCTTTGGGTGCATAAAGAAACAATATATTAACTGACCTTGGGTCTACTGTGAACAATGTCTGTTGAGTATGTTCTGTTGTACTTCAAATTTTCCGTAATTTTACTGAAAAACTGACCTTTGTTTTTCTTTCCAATTTCAGGTAACACTATAAAATGTGGTTCATTTTTCTACCGCTATCGTTCCAAAGAGCCCAAAAAGAAGAAGAAAAGTCCAGGAAGTCCAAATGAAAATCTTCCAAAGATGCCTCCCCCAAAGCCAAAGAGGACATTTGAGTACCAAAGGCCAAAAGAAGAAGCCGAAGACAGTGCTTCAAAGTTAAAGACAGAGGTATTAAAATGTAGATTTAGTAGAAGACAGTAAGTTTTGCAGTAAGACCCTGCTCTCTGTTTTTAGTTAATCTGTGTATTTTACTTCATCTTTTGTTTAATTGTCAAAACACATGTTATATTTTAATAAATTCAGCTTGGTCGTTTTCCCCAAGCCTGTGATAATAGTGTTTGAGCCAAAAGCTTAATCAGGTGGCCCCTCAGGGCAACAAAGTCTAGAAATCTTACATCCTGGGCAGACATAGTTTTTAGTGAGTGAAAATGTGAAACAAATCACTGGCCTGGCTTCAATTTCTGCAGTAGAACCAGTGCTTATGTCACAGAATGATAATAGTACAAAGATTTCATTCAGAATCTTTATCAAACCATGACTATCTATTATATTTGATAACTTTTTTTCTCTCCCCCAGATGTCACTACCGTTGCACTCACTGGAAGAGGAGTCCTCTCTGTCTTCAGAATGGTGTGTCCTGTCTGAAGACGACCAGCTGTTTGCACAGTTAAAGACACCAGAACAGGTGAAGAGGAACTTTTGTGTGTCAGATGATGACACTTTTGCTTTTCGTAATGACTAACATCATTTCCATCATGGAGGCCAGTATTTCTTTTTATAATGACTTAAAAAATCTGATCTCTGATTTTGTGACAATAAGTGTTATTCAAACTGCATTTTCTAAATACTTCAGGTGTCAAGCTTATCAGCATCCTACACCAGCCGTCAGCTCCTGTTGTATTGTGATTCTGAACTTGGAGCAGTGGAGGTGGATACAATCTTCAAAATGTTTCAGGTAACTATAAAAGAAATTATAATTGTAAAAAGTGGAATGAGTTTTGAGTAATGACCCTAGCCTTAAGAAGACAGTGCTATGAAATTAAGGACAGACTGTGGTATTTTTAGGTTTTAATTTATAGAAGACAGTAAGACAGAAGACACTGCTTTTAGACAAATTGTATCTCGAGTTATATTTTATTTTCATTATTCTTTACCAAAGAATTTGTTGATTTGTTTGGCTGAAAATTTGGAGTTGTGTTTTGATGAGAATTTGCAAGCACTTTTAATGTTTATTTTGTACTGGATTTATTTACTAGCCTTAGGAGTCTTATTGAAAATTTTTCAAAGCTGCTTTATATCTCTAAATATTTACAGTGAACAATGTATATTTTGTGAACTCCACTGCTTTCAAAACATGTTCCATTTTAATTTGTTCATTTGTTTTTCAACACAGGAAATAGCCAGCCAAGATGACTCGGCATTTCGCGACTTCATTACTGAGTATCGACAGGAGGAGAAAGCAATGGGTGGAGAGAGTCATGCCATCTTTGCTCCTTTGATAAAACTAATGGTGCAATTGCTCCAATACTCACTGGTAATGAATGTAATATAGAGTTTTGAAACAAGTCATGTAAACATTTTGCTGGTATCTTTGAATAATAGAAATTAATTTGACCAGTATTGGGATGAAAGTTCAAACTTTCAATATTTTGATTGTTAAGCGAAATAACTTATGAAGAACAAGTATACAGTGACTGGCTTTATTGCAGTCATTGCACTGTCCAAACTGGAATACTTTTTAACAGAGAGTCCAGTTACCACCATGTTGTGGGATAAAGGTACCTTCGATGTTAGCTTGCATCTCTTCTTCAGTAGTCCTTAATTCTAAATATCTAACCGTTAAGCCTAGGTCCCAACGGAACGTACGGGCTGCTACGTGTGGTCTACAGCCAAAAAATGGGGAAAACGTGGGAGTTTGTGTGTGAGGAGCACGTCCATCGTGCAACTTTTGGAGGATGCAAACAGCACATAGAAACTTTTCGACATGATCAACAGCCGCTACTTGCGATCTAGCTACGTCCTAGCAGGACGCAAGGAACCTAAAAACCGTGCGTCCAAAATGTAGTTGGGACCTAGGCTTTACTATGTAACAGTAACTGTAGAGTCTTATGTCTTCATATTTACTTATAGGACCCTGTTGAAAGTAATGTAATGTGGCTGAGAATTCTGGCAATACTTTGTCGCATCCCTCAGAACAGTGAAATCTTCATCCAGTGCCATGCTGCAGCGACAGTGATGGGGACAATGGCAGCACACTGTGCAGTGGAGATGGTTCAGCTCCACTGCTGTAGGATACTGGCAATGTTGGCACAGTACAGACCGCTGCCAAACCAGAAGGTGTGTGTGGTGAAGTGTTTCTTTTATTTAGATAATATAACATTCTTGTGTATTTTGACTGATGTTGCAATCTTTTATTTATTTGATCTTGAAATTTTCATCCATATGATTTTTCCATTTTTCCATTTTTTGTATAATATTCAGTATTCTTTTATAATAATTATACTAACTGTCTATCATTGGCCTTTGTGAAAGTAAATTGTTTTAGTAAGTGGTAAACAAGATCAGGTGTGAGCGTTCCGTGTAACTGTTTATAAATGGTAATTTTCAGGCTCCAGTACGAGAGAGCGGTGTTGATCTGTTAACTCGTGCCATGCACAATTTTAAAGAGAAGCCTGCAGTAGTCAAAATGGCAGCTCAGGCTGTGGCGAATGTAGCAGCTTCACAAACATCTTTGGTTCAGGGACTAATGAAAAACAGTAAGTTTTTGAGTTACATATTACAGAAAGAAAAAATGCGGTATACTTGTGAGGTTTTAGAATTGTTAAAGTATATTAAGTATTTGTTGTCAATTTCCTAAAAAATACAATATATAATCATTTTACAGAAAATTCTGATTCTTTCTGCAGCTGATATGTGTCAGGCAAAAAGCAGAACAAAACTCCATGATAAGACTGCATTTTTGCTTCCTAGCTACGTTTTCTTAATTTTTCAGAGAAAACTCGACACTTGACCCAGTCTGAGATTGACAAGCATGTAGCAGTGTTGGAACATATTGCCCAGTACTCCATTCCAGTGGTGAAACACATGATGGAATATCACCACAAAGACATTGGCATTGTCACAGAAGGGAAACGTCTGCTCAACTTTTTTGTTGCTGCCTCAGAAAGTGAAGAAGATCAGTCACAGTAGGTTCTTTAAAATTCTATAAAAACCTGTTTGTAACATGTTTAGACCATGTTGCAACTGAATGCTGTCTTTTTTGTCACACGTTGGTCACATGACCTTAACTTGGTGTGCTTATTGGATAAGCTGCCCAACTGTGCAATATTCAAATGTAATTATATTACTGAAAAAATAATTCAATGTGTATATGTGTGGAATTGTGGCTTCTTAAAGGAGATCAGTATTAGAAATGATGCAAAACAATTAACACATATTTAAAGTCTTTTTTGCTATATTTTCAGAGCTTGTGAAAATTCACCAGACATAAAGGTGGACAACATGTCCCCACCTCCAGTGTCGCCTCCTGCCAGGGGAATCTTGAAAAAATTTCCCTCCATGGACCAAATGAACAAGAAAGTTTCATTTGCAGACGACACATTTGGCGGATCAATAACAACCACAGGTGGAGAATCGTCTTTTGATGAATTGCATTACCATGGCGATATCAGTGGATCTGATAGTTTCTCTTCGTCAGGGAAACACGATGGAAATCTGCTATCCACCTTATCTCAGTCACAGCCAAACATTCCAACTGACACACATTCCAAGGCAGATATTTCATGTGACGTAAGCACAAAGAGTGCCAGTGGTGACACCTATGGACCAGATGACACCACAGGTCAGAGTTCACATTGTAACCAAGGTTACACAGCAGCAGACTATGATGATGTCATCATTACAGGGGATAAGGTGACAGTACAGAGTTCAACGGATAACAAAGGTGATACACCCACTTTGTGTGATGACACTCAAACTACAGGAGACACAGTGAATGTGAAAAATGCAATTACAGGTCAGGAATCTGCAGCAGACATTTACGACAATGCAGTAACATTGCCAGGTAATCCTGGTTCTCAGGACGCTACTTCTAACAATGGAACCCCCCAAAAGGCATCAGAAAGTGAGAGACCTGATTTTCAGCATTTGTCTTCCAATGACTATGTTTACGATGATGTGGCATCTCTACTTTTTGGAACAGGTGATATTGTGTCACTTGATTTGGACTCGAGCACAGGTCAGGACACACCGAAAGCACAAACCCAAGATATCCCATCAGCCTCTTGTAAGAAAGTTCCCAATGATAGCAGCCATCTAGACAAATCTGACCCATCTCAGGAAATCAAAAGTGATAATGCCAATATATCAACGCAAAAAATATCCAGCTTGACAGCAGAGGAAAATATTGACAATGAAAATAAATCTTTGCTGACAAAGGATTCTTTTGACACTGACAGAGTAGCAAAAACTGTGGAGTCTACAGATGTCAGTGATGAATGCACAGTAAGTAATAACACTAATGCTATTTGTAAGGACTCAAGAAGTCCTGAAAACATCAGTGACGGTTGCCTTACAGCAAATGTGGATGTAAAGGAAGGGAAATTGACTACAGAAATTGATGGCTCTCAAGATGCAAATATAGGAAATGATAATGAGCTTGCCAATCCTGTCAGTGACTTTGTCGGAGAAGAAATAAAATTAGACTGCAAAGCCACTGAAGATGAAACCATAGTTGAGAATGCTTCAGTGGCTGAATTGCATACTAACAGATTGGATATTGCTCAAGCTGGCAGTGCAGACAGTGGTCATGTTGGCAGCTTGGACAGTGGTCAAGCCACCAAGATTGGGGATGCTGGAGAGGTGGTCAGTCAGAATGTAACAGACACAATATCAGATCTATGTGCTGTGTTACCGGAGAATATTAAAGAAAAGAACATTGTTGATCAAAGTGTGAAAATGTCAGATTCTGAGAACTTATCTTTGAACTCAACACAATTACAGACTCTAGAAGTAAAACTCCAGAGTAAAAACACTGGACGTGTTGAAGGACTGTCAGATCTAAGGCAGCCACAAGGAAATGCTTGGCTATCAGAAAACACTGAATCAGATCAAAGAGAGACTGTATCACCAAGGCCAAAACCAAGACTAAAAGATCAGCCTAAAACTGAACAACAATATCCAGCACAGCCTCCATCAATTTTAAGAAAATCTGACCAACAGGAGTGTGGAAACAAGGATTCAAAATTACCAGAGCAAAGTCCCTCAGAATCTGATCTTCAGGCAGCAAAGCAGGCAAAATCGCCTAGACCTCTAGATAGAAAGCAGGCACCAACTGCAGTTATTCCAAGGATCAAGTCAGCTAATTTGGAAACAAAGCTTAGAAGAAGGGAGGGAGTGAAAAAGAGTCTTCAAAAACATGGCGGTTCACCTAGACTTTCATTACCGCAAGTAAATCATACAACTGAGGTTGCAAGTGGAACTGCTGTTATCAGTGATGAAACAGGTGTTGAGCAAGATAAGAAAAAGGGTAACGAAGGAAATTCTAAGGCACCTATAGTATCGAGTGCCACAACCGGTGCTGAAACTCTAGAGGCCAAACACGATGAACATGCAGATCATCACAGAAAAAATGAAAATACTGATAAAGACAAGAACAGAGAAAGTGTCAGTAAAGGAAACTTCACCCTTATTTTAGCAAACAAAGAACTACATACAAATAGTGCCATTGTGAATACTGCCAAAGAAAACAAAGAAACTAAAGAATCTATATCTGGAGGGGTGAAGATGAGTAAGGAGACCAAAGATGCTCCTGAGAAGGAACGATATGGTGTTATGTCAGTCAGTGCTGTTTCTCCGGGAGGAAAAGTGGTTCAATATGCCAAATTCAAAGAATTTCAAATGCACCAGTGGGTCAGACGGTTCTCCTCTGAGAAAAACATACATATCCACGAAACAGAGCCCGAAAATCAGGTGAAACATTCTAAGTCTGCCGAGGAAATTAGGGACCTAGAGGACCAGGATTCAAAATCGAGAAAAATGTGGGGCAGCGTTCACCTGCCAGATGTTGACACTCTTTTATCAACGAGCTCCATGACTGAGTCTATCGAACTTCCGCGAAGTGATGTCACCCCGCCAGAGGCTCCCTCCTGGGTTCAGAAACTTGTCCCCGATTTTGACACTAGTGACCTTGGCGAGTGCGTTAGTGAGGACGATAACATGACCAGCAGCAGACGCATGTGGGGGAGCATACATGAGCCTCACGTGGACACCCTTTTAGCCAAAAAAGACGCCACGACACCCATAGAAGATACACACCATGTCAGTGACCTCATCCCCCAAGAAGAAAAACCTTCTGAAACTGAAAACCAACAGCCTGAAAATACTCAGCCATTGAAACCCATAGAAAAAAACAAGGCAGATTTAACTGTAAAAAATTCCAGGATTAAACGAAGTAAACCTGTTATTGGGAAGAAACCTGTGGTGGAGAAAGTGGACAGAACTTTCCAGATAATTCCACTTGTTAATGTCACCATGAAGGTCACAGAACAGAAGCCGCTGTACGAACTGGAAGAATCCACAGAAGATACTTTGAGTAATGATCATGAGAAAATGTGCCAGATTTTAGCGCTGAGAACTCTGGTAAGAAAATTGGTTGGTGTTTTCCAGCAAAAAATCTTCAGTTTATTCCTTTAGTTTATATTGATTTTATAATGAGACTATGAATTGGGCAGCAGACGCTTATAGAAAATATGAGAAAGAGAAGATCCTCTACCTTTTGGTATAAAAATCTTGTTTCACCGCGTATACTGTAGAGAAACAAGATCACGAGGCATGATGGAAACAGACTGTTCACTTTTGATTTGGTCATAATTTTTTTAAACCAAGAGGTATCAGATTAATCTTTTTCCCCTCATGATTTTTATAAACAAAGCTTGCACTTGCATATGTATGCTAACAGTGGTTACCTATTTGCTTATTGTTTTATCTTCAAGAGAAATGACAGTGCTCAATGTCATATTAGCATCCTACAAAAAAAATATTACTTCATGTTAGTATACTATTTAACAGTGACTAAATCACATTCATCTATCATGAATTTGTATAAAAAATTAATTTAGTGATAATGTTTTTGCATTGGTTTTTTGAACTCATGTTATTTATTTTCAGTAACTGTAGGGTACTAATTTGAATCAAATTTGTATTGCACGACAGATCCAGTGCATTATTCTTCTTTCATTTTGAATCTTTGTCAATGAAAAATATTGAAATCAAAGTGCAAGATGATTGAATTCATTTGTAAACTTGATATTAAAATGTTCAATATCTCCTCCGTCAGATCCTCAACCACATCTTCACCCTTTGGAAAGAGAAGAAGCCCATCTCCTCTTTAAGTCTACTGGACAAACCACTGACCGAGGTCCTGTCAGAGGTCAAGGGGTCACCCTACCTGTTGGACTGCATCACAAGGGGAAAGGACCCCAGGTATTTGGAAGGGAAGATCCTGAAAGACGTGGACCCGGCCATTGTGGTGAACATCATTGAGGCTGCTACTAGCAAGTAAGATGGGATGGTCATTTGGGGAATTGCTTGTTAAAAGCAAATAATTATTTTATGATAATATTTTAAATTCTTTATGTTTTGATTATATTTCCAATTCATTATGTTTTGCAAACAAAAAAAATGGTATACTGTACTAATAAATAAACAAAATTACCTTTGATGCAATAGTAGTCTGTTTTGAGCATGCTGTTTTCAGCAATAGCAGTCTTTTTTTAAAATATATGCTGATGATATGTTAATTTATTCCAAGATATTATGCTAATTATATGCTCTATCAAAATTTCAGGACATCAAGAGTTAAACCAGCCATGAAACTGCTGGAGAAGCTGGAGACACTATTGGAGCCAGTTCAGCTGAGTCCACACCTGGAGACAGCTTGTCTGTGTCTACAACATCTACTCCATGGACCTGTCACTGAAGCTTTAAAGACAAGTAAGTTATGTTTGATATTGTAGTATTTATTGTTTTAAAATTATAATACGCTATGCTTTTTTAATAAGTAATTGAAATATGTTTTTATTTTTGAAGCAATGGTTTGGTGTGTTGTATTGTTTTGCTATGTAATACTTTTTTATTTGATTTTTATCTACATTACAGTTTGTTGTATTATACAAAGTCGTTGTTATGTATTCTGATGCAAAGAATGTTATTTAAATTGAAAAATGTTAAAGAATATCAAATGTACATGTGTTCTTACCAACAGAAAGATTTACAGTAGACTCTACACAATTTAAAACTTTTCAATGAATCATGATAATCATGATAATCTCAAACAAATCTTATTGATTCAGATCAAATTGTATTCTCAAGTTAGAATTATTAAAGTTACAACCTGAAGTTGATACGAACGTTTCTTCATCTGAATCTTTGTGTAACTTCAACAAATTTTCAAATCTGTTGATGTAAAGTATATATTTGTTCTTTCAGATGGCACCGTGGCACAAAATCTCCACAAGAGACTGAACATACTATTGTTTTCTAAAGATGTGGCAGAGAAGTGTAAAGTGATCATACGAGATGTTGTTTGTTCCCTCAGACAATATCAGCTAGCTTGACACAGGTCTTTGACCTTTGTAAGTTTTTTTTTTTTTTAAGTTTGCCATGCAAGGCCCAGATGGGTGTTGGATCATGATGGATTTTGTGGTACAGTAGAAGAGTATGTAAAGAAGATTTTAAAAAAATTTGGGGGATAATATTTTTCTGACTATTTGGCAGATTTCTGACATTTTGGGAGCCAAAAATGTCACTGACCTGGGCAGCTCCCTGGACCCCCGGCCATATTTTCCATTTTTTCCACTAGATGGCAGTGTCATCCCTGATTTTACGTTACTTTGTGATTGACATGGTGAACTTTAATCAAATGCTGCTTGAGTTAAGACACATTGGCATGCATGGAAATTAAACAATGAAGAAGTTGGCACTTATGGAATCTGAAATTGATCTGAGTAGAATGGCATCTAATTATGGACAAAAGTTTGCAACTCTGCAGTTTGTGAAGTCTGTTTGTGTATCATGTGTGCCCATTGGGGATAGATAATATAAAAGTTGCTGACAAGACATGTATGTATAATAATATCACTGTGTGTACATATGCATGAACTATGTACATTGTACTGTACACTAATTCAAAACAGGCTTGGTTAAGAAACTGAAAAATAGAGGTACGTAAGCAGCTTTAAAGATTTTATGTGACTTGGTCAATTAAAGGTCTCAGTAGTTTCTTCTAAGACTGAGTTTCAACTTAAGTTGTTTGGTGTCGCAGGCTATCCAGCATTATTTCCAAATTATAGGACCCTATTTTATACTAAATCTAACACAAATGGTGCTTTTTAGGGATTATTCACTGGGTATTATGGACAGCATTACTATTAAAACTTACAATATACATAAATGCATGTATGCACATTGTTTCTGTTTCCCAGAAGAACCTCAGCCTAGAAATTGGGCCACATTTTCAGAACCTGATTTTAGTCTTTGACTTACTGCTATGACACGAGATAAATCAGTTGTAGTCAAGTTAGAAAAAATATTGTGCCTGTTTTATAACAAGGAAAACTTCACTATTTTAGACCACAGGCAGTAGTAAATTATTTAGGTGAACCACCATCATGGAATCGGCATCAGCTAATCAAAATAATGGTTACATGCATTCCTTTCAATTTTGCTTACCAGAAGAAAATGCAATTTTTGAGCAGGGTTAGTAATTACATCAATGAAAAAAAAACAACATACTTTTGATAATGTTGATACATTTGATACAATTTTGATATAATTCAAGTACAGGTTATTAAGGAAAAAAAGTTTGTGATATGTAAGACTGTCACCCTCAAAGAAAAAAGCAGTGATTTATCCCTTTGAATTGATTTTCACAAGTTTGTATTATAGTGTATTCAACATTTGATATTTACTATAGGTGCTGTTAATCTTTTAACTTACAACAATATTGGGATTAGATGAATGATAAGTTTTACTTATTCATGTGTAATTATTAAAACAAACTATGGTGCTTTAAAATCATAATTGACTGTATTTTGTATCCCTCTTTTCTTCACTGTGATGAACTTTTTTGCCAGCATGAAAACGGACTGCTTTATTCAGTATTTGTCAAGAATAATATAAATAATGTGATGTGATAAGTGCTTGCCTTAATTATAAACAATTTAGTTGAAGATGATAACATACACTGTCTGCCTTAGAAGATAGGTTCTTAGTAAGCAGTGATATGCAATTATTAATATTATAGCTTTTAAATTAATGTATTGGTGGTATTAATGTGCCCAGGCGACAAAAACTGTGCTTAGAATTGTATAGTATTTTATATGTAAACATTTGTAAACTTCTCTGTTGAACCAACTTAATGCCGAGGATCAGTTTATACATATTACACATTAAACTTGAATATTTTCCATGAGTTGTTTGTAATGTGTCAGTGCTGTTGTAAAATAAAATTAAATATTTTCAAAAAATAAAAACATGCATTTGTAATTCTCCCTACGTAAGTTTGCATGGCCAGCAAGATAAAAGTAACATAAAGTAAGACGAAATCCGAAAAGGGGTCATTTGATTTCAATTTTCTTTATTTTATCATATTTTCAATATGAAAAATAAAAGAAATAATGTGTTGTACATTCAATTCGGAAAACAAACTTTAAATTAGCATACAAAACGGTGCACCAAGACAACTTTTAGACAAAAAAAGGGCAAACATCAGGCATCTTTAATACAATTTCGAGTTGAGGAAAATAGAGTGATATAAAATAATGTGCAAATGACTAATAAACAGCATTAATCTGGATAGACTTCATAAAACTAAAATGATATAATTATTGTAAATTAAATGCAAATTTTGAAAACTGAACTCCTCCACAAGTGCCTTCATAAATATCACTATAAACAAATTGCTTAACTAAATTTTGAAAATATTTTCCTTGCATTCCACAAAGAACAAATTACAGTATAAGATGTGAATTTATACAGAAGAAAAAGCATTAAAAACTGGCATAGCATCTGCAGCACAGTATACAGCTTGTGGTACTCAAGGCACCTAAAAAGACTGACAGGAGGAAAAAAATCAGCATCAAAACAATGGTCCAACATTGAACCACTTACAACTGCAGCCCAGAAAGGGTAGGATGAGTTTGCACAGTATCCATAACCCATCATCAAGAATATTCATTGACAACCGAATATTAACCTGTAGGATAAAAAGCATGTAAATGTTGCCTTAGCCAGCTATAAGACTTAGTATATATTTGGTACCAGTTGACACTTGGAAGATTTGTCTGTTCAGGAATGTAAATGTCTTTTCACATCATTTCATTTTCAACTGGAGCTAAAAATCCTTAACTTTTCTCTTCGCAATTCCATACACTGAAGGAAACTTAGTAAATAACTAGATTCTTGATATCGAAAAATATCAATTATAATATTATAAAGATTTCTGATAGCATTGATAATATGTACATTAAATAATTAGAAATATATCTATAAATGTACAAATTGGCACAAACAGGAGAGTGCTGAGATCAGTACTGGTCACCATCAGACTGACCACTTCTTGACCACTCCTAACATACCATGCAGCACAGGAAGGCTTGACTGAATTACATCATGCTGAGATCATGATATACAATTTAAACAGTAGTAAAAATAATGATCATAATCGACTTTTAACTTGTAAAATTTCAACTTTTACCCTTGAGTGAATTACATCCTGCAGAAATTTAGTATATTTTTTAATATTCAATCTGCTGCAGTAGTTATAGCAATTGGCCTTTCTTTCTATATTTAAATAAAGGCACCCCCAAAGCATGGACTAGGTGTAGAAACAAAAGTATATCTTGTCAAAGCAACCATTCAGTACTAGGCCACAACTTTAGAGATATAATTATATCATAATATTAAATGAAGCTATTATACATAATAATTTCATTTTAATCCAGAAATAAATTTTGAACTAAATGGTGTATGAAACCAGCATTCATTCTGTGAAAACAAATTAAGTTTTGAATCTGCCCTGTAACAGACTGTGAAATGCCAAAGCACATGATAAATAATTGAATTAAAAAAACTATTCACTTTTATTTCTAATATATAATTTAAGATTAAAACTTAGTATCAAAACTAAACAATCACTGCATTTTTATCATCTTGGCACCTGGAGTGTAACTGTTGCAGTAATTGTCATATCACAATATGCTTTTAATTAGCTCAAAAAGCAGCAGTATATTTGCTATATACTTACTATCAATGAATAGTGAAATAAAGGAAATGTATGGAAAAAACTTAATATGCTTAATAATTTGAACAGACATCACATTATTATTATTAATTGGAAGATTACCTTTACCCAATGTTTTCATTCATATAATCATATACAAATAATATATATATCCATCATATATACATTTAAAATATCAAATAACAGTAAGTATTTCTTAATAATAAGGGAGACTCTTTAATAAGTTCAGCAGCCTTATCAAATGTATCTTGAAACCATATATATATATATATATATATATATATATATATCCTTTAGCTCATGGCTGTATTACTAAATAATTACTAATAACGTGAGAACACCATTAAAAAGCTGGGATGAATTTGGCGTAATGCCAGTAATACAGCACCTAATAAACAGTCCACATATTCACTTCAAGTGCTCTTACTACAAGAACTGTAAAACTAAAAGGTGTAACTATCATAATATAAATAAGAATAAATAGTCCTAAAAGAATAAATTAAGCCAGCTTGCAAAGAATGGGGTAGTCTGGGTCTAATGTTCTAACCCGTTCAAAGTTCCTATAGTTAACGAAATGGAATGTTGTAAATGCAGTGAATTCTAATGAATACTACAAAGTATTCACAAGACAAGAAGAGAAAAAAAATGGAGGGAGGTCAGTCCACAGACCAAAAAGGCAGATAATGATGAATAAATGGCAGTGTAAAATAACTTTACTGTAACAGTTGTTTGTTTTAGTTTTCTTTTCTTCAAGTGCCCTCCTTTTGATCAGTGTGTCATTCAAGACTCTGAAATTATAAAATACAACATATATAATTTAAAACAAATATAATAAAATACAAATATTTTTCAGCCACAGTTAAACTATAGATTGTCAAACAAGATGAATAAAGAGGTGAACTGAACCATTCTGAATCAGGAGAACACATAATGATAAGAATAAAAATAATAATAATAAAATTAATCCCACATTCCATATCCCAGTGCTGACAAAAATTATTAAACAGAAATTCCCCAAAAAATATCAACACTTATAAAGAATTAATTAACTAATTTACAAGTATTCAACAGCATACCCCAGTAGAAGTGGATCTCTTTCTCTTCCAGCAATCTGGATGGATCTTCTTGTGTTGGTCTGCCAGCATCTTGGCTTCCAAGGAGAAGGCCTTCCTTTCCTCACTTTTCAGCTTTTTCCATCTCTCTCCAAGAAGACAGCTTATGGCTCTGAAAGAATCAGAATAGAAAAGATGAAGGTTATATTATCCAAACTATAAAAATACAATTCAAATTTAGCTTTCAACTGCAGATGATCCGACAACTATTATAATATACTCAGCATCTAGTTCTCATGGTGAAGAAGTCTGCAAATTTTTATTTCAGAACCTGATTAAATGGAGATAAAACAGGTACTAAAAGTAGTTTGACTTGACTAATAATATGGATTTGATAGAATTATACTACAGTGCAACAACTACATTAATACCTATTTATCTAACATAGGATATTTCTTCAATAGGTATTAATGTAGTTGTTGCACTGTAGTATAATTTTGAGATTTTTTCCACCCAGTACTTTTATTCCATCAGTACTTTTATTCGATACTTCAGAGTAGTACCGTCATTCTATAATTATAATAATTAACGGCTTTTTGAATTAATTTCAAATTCATCAAAATTTATCACAGTGTTGTAATTATTTTCAACTTTAAATTCTATCTATTGGTAAATAAATCCACCTATTATCCTTCCCAGGATACATCTGTGTGTACTCTACACGGTATTTCTTGGCAAACAGCATGAAGGCATTCATGGGCCTCTTTGCCTTGCTGGGGGACTCTGGCTTGGAGAGGCGCTTCCGGTTGGGGGAAGTGGTGGGACTGGACTTGGGACTCCAGCTGTCGCTTTCTTTACTTTTCTGAAGATAACATGTATAATATTTGATGTCATAATAGAAAGTATCCTGAGGACATCCTAAATACACAAATAATAAAAAGTAAAGGATTCATTAAATACCTTAAATGAAAGTCACAAATGAACAAGATTCTAAGATTTAACATAAAATTAATATCATGTAAATCCAAAAAGAAAAATATATATACAGTAAAAAAAAATGAAATTTGCAACATCTTTAAAGTCAATCTATGGTCTTTTCTTTTAATTTTTGTTCAATTTCAAATTCTAAATGTCAGCATTTAAATTAAATTGCTTTTGACAAAAATGCAAATCAAACACACACAAAACCAATAACTGACTCTACAATGAAATATTTATTATGTGTGAAAGCTAACATAATATAAAAATAAAAAATAAATTGGATTCAGTTTATTATGAGTTTGTGTCATAGTGGATCATTTTATTCTACCTTGGCCATTGTACTTAGAGTAAACACTGCAGAAGAATCCATAGGAGTGAAGTCATAACTGAAAAGAAAGATACAGTAAATATAAAAAATAATAATAAACAAAGAAACTTCTTTAGAATTCATTTGGAGTGAAAAAAAATCTCAGCAACATTTCCATTATGATCAAGATAACCCAGGGCTATCCAAACCATTGGGGGGAAAATGCCTTTATGTTGACTTCTAAATTTCTAATTTTATAGTCACAATTAAGTGAAATTAACCAGCCTCATTCTCCATCATGAGACTGACTCAAAAACTAGAAATCTTACTCTCTTTTTGCATATCAAGGCCTTACACATATTATATGCTTTTACTATCTTATAAGTCTTCATTAGACAGCAGATGGCCCCACTTTGATTTGATCATCATGAAATCTTAAACTGAACCAATTAAAAATATACAACTGAAAACATGGGAAAGTTAATATTTGCACAAAATAAAAATGAAGTTCCTCATGGCAAAGATTGCACAATATTCACACAATCATAAAACTCACCTTTTGAAGCTCTCAAAGACATCCACAGTAAAGGTGGCCTCTGGGTGTGACGGAGGCAGTGTGATATCTCCCACCTCCAGCTCACTGCAAGGGATACCATAGTGCTCCACTGTCATACTGGGATGAAAACTGGACCAACCTGAGAAAGTACATAACACCATACACATGTATCTTTTAGTTCATAACTGACAATAACAATCTGTGCCAAAAACTTCATAGGGTACTAGCCCTTAGGTACGTAATGAGAACCTGGCTAGCGTTATATACATTTTTACCAGCTAAGGCTAAGATGTCTTTTTGGGTAACTAAGCAATTGCTGCTGGTTTATACTTAACTTTGCAGATTGCAACTACAGTACACCAATCAAGAAACTGAAATAATACCGATAAGTTAACATACTATGACTCTCTTGACGTACCTTTCTCCCTGACAAAGAAGGGATGATCCAAGGCACACTCAGCAATGATTTCTGACTGTGTGGGAATGTCCGAGGAGAACCTGAGGCGAAGAAATGGCACTGGTCGCTGCTCTGTGGCTTTGCACTCTTCTATATGGAGAAGTGTCAGCCCATTGGGAGCATAGCTAAATAAATAAAATAAATACATAAATAAATTGGTAAATAAATAAATCACATAATGGTGCTGTCTTCACCAATTTTTTTAAAATTATTAAACTAAAATTAAAATCATGGCAACGTACTTGCTGTCTTTTGGAAGATTGTCTTGAGAAGCTTGAGCTGTGAGATATGAAGTATTTGCCAGGTCCTCCGCTAGCTGCCATTCTGTTTTGTTGCCCGTTGTGAAACGTATTCTTGTTCCTGGAATAGAAAATATAAGAATACATGATATGGAGAAATGTACTATTAGGCTAAGAATGGATATCAGTGCAGGTAAGTCTCCTTTTAATGATTTTCAAACATATACTTTAAGATTTGAAAGGGAAATTTTAAGATAACTGGAGTAAGTATGTGAGTAGCAAATAACTTAACGTATAAACTGTCATAAAGTTTGTGACTTTGTACCACAAATCAGATTCACGTACACACGTTCCATTTACTAATTTGAAAGAATATATCTATAATTATACAAACTAACAGATAGATAGAAACATAAATTATGCAAAATACAGAAGAGTGACCAACCAACAAAAACATACCTTGTATAAAGCACTGCCACACTGCAGAGGGCCAGGAATGCGACCAGCTGCCTGAGCTGCCATAACTGTCATCTAATGGGGATGAGGGAAATGGCGACGACGAACTCACACGAGATTCACTTTCATCACTAAAACATTCATATTACACTATTAAGTTGACAGACTGCTATGAAACGGGGAAAACCAAGTCAGCAATAAGGGTTTTAAGCATGATGTTTAAATCTTTTTTTTTTTAAATCCCTTGATCATTTCATTTCATCACTCCGTGCTTTAAATATGCTTATTCTCTAAAAACTGTTTAGTATACATTTATTTAGTACCAACTTTACACTGTAAAGAAAAAATGAAAAAAATAAAATCACCATGTTATAAACAATTGCTACTGAAGTGTAATTTACATTAAAAAAATAATCACCATTTTGAAAATGTCAATTATAGTTATATATTTTATAAACTGTAATACAGTAAAAATTGGTACTTATAAAACTTAAATAATCTCTGTATAGATGAACTATATTTAGCCTAATTAAGTCTTCATAAAACCAAATTCTAAATACACTCACACTTTTTCAAATGAGACCAATCAAATATCCCTTAAACAAGCTAACTCTTAAACAAACCAGACACCATTACATAAAAGAAAAAAAAAAAAAAACTCACCAGTTATATTTGAAATGACTTTCTGAGGCAGAGGAAGACAAACTTCTCATGTTCCCACGCACTGGAGAAGGAGAGCGTGTGCGTGGCGGACGAGCATACGAATGGAGAGAACACTCCAGGAAGCTTTTGGTGGGACTTCTACAGAAAATACAAACAAAAAAACATCAATTTTATAAACACTGGGTATAATAGTTGCCTGAAAGTTACAAAATAAATCAATTTGTATCTCATTAGGTAAATATGAGTAAAATCAATCTGCTTTTGAGACTGAAACTTGATTTAAAAAATCTTGAAGATGTTGTTGAAAACAAATAGTTATTAATAGCTGGAAGAGGAAAAACCCTAAAATAATATAGTCTATAGCTAGTGGTTGTTTCTTTCCAATACCTCTCAGCAGTGGACTGTTTCTGTATTAAAGGACTCTTTGGTCCTGTGGCTATCTCGGCCAGCTGTTCCAGCCAGTTGGAAGTGGACACAGGCTGGACAGTCACATGATTGGCATTACTGTCCTCCCCATCTGTAGTGGACACCACATCTATGGGCGAGCTGTCCGAACTGTCCAGGCGGAGGGACGGTGGGGTATGTTTTGCTGACCGTGTTGTGGTCACTACTTCTAACATGTCATCATCCTCATCATCATCAACTGTAAAATGATACAATTATCTTAATACATAAATTTATATTGTACACATAGAAGAGAGTTAGCAACTAATTTTAAAATTCACAATCAATGTTTTTTCAACAGTTTAGAAGTTAACATGGCATACAAAAATAAATTATAACATAAATTAAATATTCAAGTATACACATAATTAGGCTGTTATATATTATATACGAGTAGCATGAAACAGATTTCGTAATCTTATTAAAATACTGATGGCAAATGCAATTCATGAATTTAAATAAAAAGGTTGAAAAGACTTGGGTGTAAAATAATGAAAATAAAAGTCAGTGTTTTATAATTGTCATATGCTGAGTATTTACTTATAAATCATGTGATTAGATTGTGTATCCTCGGAAGTTACATGTTCAGCAGTTTAAAAGCATTATGGGCAATTATTTCTTTTTAATTTAATTTTTAAATTTTTCTACATTTTTCTTTTAACAATACAGGGGGACTTATACTGTTATAAATTCATCACATTCCATGGCTTAATATTATATAACAATTATGTAGTATACAGCAAGATTATTATTAATATTAATATCAAAACATTTACCTCACGCAGTAATGCAAAACAAAAAATTAAATTAATTTTTTTTAAAAATGATTTTTAAAACAAAACTTGCATGTGAATCATATACAAGTTGTCAACTTTGTCCCATTATATTTATGCTATGAAAATCAAAATGCAGAATTAAATCCTGTCCCATGCTAGTAGATTTCTTGACCTTAATTTGAATGCCACCTAAATAGACTTCACATTTCTTTTGAACATTTTCATTAAAATTCTTGCTTCAATGTAACAACAATGGAAAAAAATATGAATAAATAAATTTTGAATAATTAAGTGCAAACCACACAAGAATGAATTTCAAGCAATCATACAAAGGCATATGTAATCAATTTTTTTTCTAAACACAGTCTTGTGAAATTTAATTTGTTGTGTAATACTCAATGTGTATGTTTAATTTTTTTCACACTTGAAATCAATAATTAATACAACAACATGGTTCAGTAATTGAAAGCATTCAATAGGTTTTATTTATAAAATTTTGAGACCAATGCACAAAGTAAAGCTTATTCTGAAAGAATAAAGGAACACACTTTCACCTTGCAGTGGAGTCTTAAGTCATGTAAATGGTTGCTATTGATTTGAAATTGAAAAAGACTAGCAGCAAGCGACCTTTCAGAAACCCCTTGCACAGAACTTGGAACAATGCCAACACCTCATTCAATAGTACGATTTCCTTTGTTGTTATATCACCCAAAGAAAAATCTTGAGTCATCAAAATAAAAAAGTTAAAAAATTTAAAAATGCAAACCCCTTGAAACACGCATCAGTCTGAGATGTAAAATGGGTTAGATAAATAATAAATCAACATTAAATCTGAGTGGCATTAGATTGAATGGTACTGTTGTGTTCGTGCATTTTCCTACCTTCACCCGGTGTGCTCTCCCTGCGCGGAGAGCGCGCAATTACGGTAAGTACTGCGCACACCAGGTGGAGAGTCCAACTTCCCTGCCTGATCCCGGTGAGTACAACTCAACCACAGCTACCGTGCAGACGTGTACGGTACAGACGACAAAAATAATCAGAATTGAGACACAATACACAGTGATCTACAATCTCACTCCGTAAGTAGAACCAGTGAATACTTTATTGGCGACAAGGATGAGATTCGAACTCACGCGGGGAATATTGGCACTACAATATCGAGGCACTGCGTTTCGTTCGTGTGCTGGGTTTTCACGTAATAGCGTTGAATAATCGAAGACGCGGAATTCGTGGTGCATTAACCCAAAATGGATGGATGGCTGACTACAAGAGATAAAAATAAGGTAAAAGGCTAATGAATGAATTCATCTACGGTAGCATTTTAGTAAGCTGGAGTAGTGAAAAGCTCGACAAAGCGCTGTGTTTGTTGAACCCTCTCTTCACAGTTAATACATGCCATTAATGGCGAAAATTAATATAATTAAGCCCGCTCGCATCTTGGTTAAAAGGGAAAGGAAGGAGGTGGAGGAGAGAGAGAGAGAGAGAGAGAGAAAGTCCATAAGTAGAAATTTCGAAGCTTGATTATTTTAACAATACGTTGGCAAAGTCACTCTTGAACGCATTTACACTCGTGCTTGTCTTGCAGACACAATTGCTGGCGGTTCAGTGGGTTTTTGTAATAGTTTACGTTGGTTTTTTTAGTTCTTATTCTGCTTCACCTTTTCTACCTCCAGTACCTGCAGTCAGTAGCAAAGTAAGATCTTAAAGTGGGCTGTATATTGATTTTGAGTTTATTTTATTTATCGTATTTTTTGTTTATTCTATGTCAGCTTCCACAAGCTAGTGGAGATAGTTCTTGTCTTCCTGATGCAAAGCAACGGCGGATCCTTTCCTTTCTTCAAGTTCAACCAAAGAAGAAAGCAAGATCTTCGTGTATGTGCACTTGTTTTCTTATGGCTTGAAACTTTTGAATATATGCATTTGATAAAAGCCTCAAGTTAAGAAATAATTTAAACATTTGGTTAAAACAAATAATGGACAAATTACTAATTTCATTTTATGTTTCAGTATGATTTATATATTTATTTATTTGTATATTTTGCAGTAGCGGACAACACTTCTCTCCTTAAGAAAACAGAACATTCTACTTTTGATCTACAGACTAACAGATGGTTGCCTTTCAACAGGACCCAAAAAGTCACAAGAAATCATTTTCCAGACAAATATGACACATCACCTGCTGTACACAGAAATGACAGACATGTGTCCAACATAAAAGGATGTTCGCCTAATGATGAAAATGCAGAAATATGGAAAAATTGTTCCTACACCAAAAGAGAATATTCACATATCCCTATTAGAGAAACAAGCAAAAAGGAAACTAATTCTGCTCGTGAAGGAGAGAGCTCTCATTTTCTTAATGAAAAAAACAATGGTAGAGACTTATCTGAAAACACAGAAGGCAGTGTTTTAAATTTCCTAGAGAGAGGAAGGTTAAGAAGAAAAAGAAAACTGCCCTCATCAGAAAACACTGTTGATGATGATGTGGAGGGTTTTAGTCTGCTGCATGGAGGAGAAAAACTGATTGTTCCTGATGTCCAGGACAGGATTATACAACATCTGTGCATTGACCTTACTGATGAAGATGTTGTTTCAAAAAGTTCACCAAATCACAACACCAACTATATGAAAAATAAACGTAGAAAAACTGACGATGACAATGACATCCAATCACCCACCCCTTTGAGAACCTTGGCTAACAACCCAGGTGTAAACTCTCAGTTGTCTGCGGGATGGAGAATATTTTCTTCTGAAATAGACGGTGTCTCTGAACCTGTTGATGTAACAGAGTGTCGTTTGCCATCTCCCTCGTACATGGTTGGTGAGGAATTCACGTGGAACACACAAAACTTATTTTCATCTACTGGTACTTAAAAATAATCAAACAACAGAACAGCTGTCAGTGTCAATAATTTGATCAGATTTTAGTTTGTTAAGGATTACACAGGTGTATTACTGAATGAACAGGTGGTATGAACCGGTTTCTTCTCCCAGCATGTAAGTAAACAGTGGAATAACAGCATTAAAACATATTAGTTAGCCAAGGCCATTCCCATAGACACCAGCGGTCACTATGGAGACTCTCCTCAGGGGCGGATCCAGAGATATTTTACTGACAGTCTTCCAAATTATTTTTGTTAATCCATCCTCCATTTTTGACCGTCTTCCGACAGAAAATATTAGATACCCGTCAATGTAAACTTTAAAATCTGACCGTCTTCCGGAAGACCCAGAAGACGGCCTAAATCCGCCCCTGCTCCTTGAATCCAATCAGCTTGCTGCTTGTGTACCAAATTATAACTTGAGCTCCCGTTTCATAGCGTTGACGCATTTTCTGGGTGATTTTCCAGAGTTACATTTTTCGTAATGTAGTCTTACTAAGTATTTCGATACAACCTACATCTAACAAACGTGTGATTATTACAAACACCGTTGAAATAAAACTATAGATGTTTTAGAAATTCTTTCACAACATTTATCGCCCGGGGACAGGCTTCCCGCTCTGCAGCCTAAAAATCACGCGATGGTGAATACTAGTGTTTCTGTTATGTTTATAAATTCTAGTGACAACAGTAACACGTGTTTTAAGTTACCAATTGCTTGCTTACTGATTTATTATTCTGCTTCGAGGTAGATATGACCCCCCTCCCCCCCCCCCCCCCCCCCCTCCCCCCCCCCCCCA